AAAATTTTGGTACTTCAAACACCCTTTTGTTTTTTCTAGTGTTGAATTGATGAGCTAAGTATAAAGTAAGAAAAATTATTTGGATTGTATTAAATCATAATAATTTATTATTCTTTTAGAATATTATAAATATAAATAAATAAAATTAATCACTAATTAATATTTTAGAAAGAACGAGAAATTTTTAGAAAAAATTCTACTTAATTTAGTCATAAGATATCTTTTTTTTCTTTTTTAGAACAACGAATATTGAGGTTTTAGAAACTTATAAGTCGAGCTAATTCTAAATTTAACTCAAATTTAAAAAAAGAACTAAAATTTTTTATCACATAGAAGAAAAAATAACAAAATTTAAGTTATTTATTAAGATATTGTGACAAATATGACGCATATTTTTTATAATTTTTTTATTACAAAAAAATCTACGTACAATTTAAAAAAAGAATACAAGTGTAACTTATTTCTCTATTATCAAGTTAGACAAAGTTTACTGGATATTTGTGCTCTTTGTTTGGGAAAAAAAGCCCCCAATTCTTTTCAACTTCAGGCTCTTTTCCTCTTTCATTAAACATGGCGAACAAGTAAGTCTCTGTAGGCTTTCCCGGCTTCTTAGGCGTCCCTTGTTTCACATGCTGAATTAGATTGTTATTGTAAGTTTGTGCATTCTCAAAACTTGCTCCTATATCACCAGCTGTTGGCCAGCCAGATTCTGTCACGACAACCTCTAGAGATCCACCACCGGCCTTCTCCAATGCTGAGTGGACAGCGTCGACCATAGCGTCAAATAAGTTATTGTACTGTAATGGTGGGTCAGGATTAATCGGGGCTGATGGTTTAAGTAGAGCATAATCAAGACTGATAACATCAGCATTATACTTATAACTAAAGTAAGGGTAGACATTAACTAAAAATGGAGCTTTATTCTCGTTCAATATATTAATGATTTGACCCATAATTGGCATGTACTCGGCACTGATTACACCTGCTGATGGCGGATAGGATTCACCGAGGAAGGCCATGAACGTAGCTGTGGAGACCTTGACTCTGTCACTAAGACCAGCCGAGTTGACGGCGTTCTGGATGTTCTTAATAGCGGGAATGAGGGAAGGAGTAAGTGGATCAGAAGGTTTAACTTCGTTACCGACAGCAATGTACCGAATGCGTACGTTATCAATATATGATTTGACGTTAGTGTTAACCCAAGCATCAGCGTTGGCCTGACTGGCGGCAGCAAACTGGAGGTCAGAGTTGGGGAGGTCAAGCACAAGCTCAATATTTGAGCCTCTCAGGGCGGTAAGAACATCTTGATCAGCACTATACATTCTCATTCTGGTGATGTTGTTTTGCTTGTAGAGGGCGACGACTTCGGCTGGTGGTGGTAGATTGTCAGCCATTCGACCATAGCAAACTCCTATTTGGGCATCTGCATGAAATTAATCCCATATACATTTAAGTCATTAGATACATGTCAAATATAATTACTTTTAGAATTTTTTCTAAAAAAAATTATATTTTAGCAAACACTTTAGAATAAATTTTTAATTACAATAATTGAAAGCATACTTTTATGGGAACAAGATTTTTCCATAAACATTGTGGTACCATAAGAAGTGTTGATTAGTCAATCTGACTAAAAAAAAATAAAATAATAATTTCTTTTTAACCGTAATTATCATTAACATATATAGTTAACAAAATAAAAATTTACATTACTTATTAACCTTTATAGGGTATCTTCAAGATAGTACTTAACAATATTAGTGCATGCATATATATGCGTGATGTGCATATAAATATACAATGTTCTTGCATGCATATATATCTGTATACATATATATATAGAGAGAGAGAGAGAAAGATACCTGCTGAATATAGGTTAAAAATCAGTAGGAGCCCTAGTAGCATCATTGAATTGAGAAGAAGAGATTTATCAAATAAATTTGGTGCAGCCATGGAGTTAAACATGAGAGAAAGTAAAAAATTATGTATGAAGAGGAGTTGCTTTAACACATATCTCTATCATTCAGCTGCTTTATATATATAGATATATACACACACACACATAGGCCAATGAAATGGATTTCCATTTTCATAATTAATTGAAAATTTACCAATTTTAATCAATATATCCAAACGATTTTTTACCCTATTTTCAAAATAATTTAAAATCTTAAGTTATTAATATATTATATCATATCTTTCAAAGAAAAATGTACCATACTTTTTTTAAAAGATATATGATTTGTACACATTATATTTTATGAGTTAAGAAACAAATGAAAATATGTTACGTAATATATCTTTACATATATATATATATATATTACTATATATATATAGGAAAAATATTCCCTCTCCGGATAAGGGTGTATTTATTATAAACAGAAAATAAAATATACTCAATTAATGAAATGTATATATGTAGATAAATGGATAGTGCTTTAAATATTAATATTTAAATATAGAAACTGATTGATTATTAATATTTGCTTTCAATTTTTCTCAGAATTAAAAAAACTTTTAATTTGTCCAATATTTTTTTTCCTAATTTTTAGACGGTAATTATAGTCTTAATTAAGAGAAGTTAATTTCAAATTAATGGTAAATATACATAATTAACTCCATCTATACCACTAAAATGCCACGTGCACAAATCATTCCGTATTTGCAAAATGCATGGATAAATACTTGCAAATTCTTTTAGCATGGTTTTAATTAACTTCGTAAAATTTTAAAGAAAAATTAGTTTATGACTCATCTTATATAAATAATCTTATCTTTAAAAATTAAGAAATTAGTTGTCATTTCTGTAAAGATGGAATGAAATTAATTTTTATATTTTGGAATGTGCAAAAGTGGGTGTATCATTACACATCATTTAACTTGTATTAAAGAAATTTAGTTTTATGTAACACCCAAATTTATTTCAATATAATTTAAATTAAATTGTAGATATAATTTTGTAGTTTTTTTAATTTTAATTTAATAAAAAAATAGAGTAAAATTGATAGAAGATTAAATTGAAAATAATTCTGAGAAAAAAGGGTGAAATTTTAGGTTCTGTGGTATTTTTGAAAGAAAAATCAGAAAACAGGAGGTAAAACGTAATTTTAAAAAGTTTTGCCACGTCAGACGTTGGCCGGGTAAATTGTTATCCGCT